TAATGATGCGCTGATTTTGGCCTTTTTGCCGCGAGAATTGTACAGGACGGGCACCGGCGTTCGCATCGTCGGTGTCGAAGGCAGCCTCGGCGTCAAAGAAGAAGAAATCTATGAGTGAAAAAATGAAGACAAAGGTTCAGGAACTACTCACTGAAGCGGATGTACTGCTCATTCCTGTAAATTTTGGGAACATGCATTGGTGTGCAATGATCGTGGATGGCAAGCAGAACAATGTCCTGTACTACGACTCAATGAACCTGAAGACGTTCAAGGACGTACTGGACCGCATGTCGTGGGATCTGGCTACTACGCTCAGCGACGACTTCAAAGTTGTGTCCGTCAATGGACCGATCCAGACAGACGGATACAACTGCGGATTCTACGTAATGTTGAGGTTTTGGCGATATGTAGACAAGAGTGTGTCGCTGGACGTAACTCCGATTGGTCTAACGCTGTTACGCTTCCGCATCCTTCACTTCGTTGCTTCACGGTAGCAAGCCATAATGCAACTAATACAATCTCATTTCTATTGAAACTGGAATCGACCCGCCTAATGTTCATGCGTATGGTTGACCTCCTGACTTCTGTATACCGGTATGTACGAGAGATGTCAGAGGACTTTCGTTTGCGAAGGTCTAACAACTTCCATTCACTATGGATTTTAAAAACAGTGGTAAGTAATTTATTTCGACACATGGACATTACATGGAGTATTACATGGATGAGTCGACGCATGGACTGTAGCATCGGCCGGAAAGAATACTAGTATTATAATATTAATAATACAACATGTTTTTTGTCACCCGACTATACGCGACATGTTTTAATACCGGTAACTAGACACTTATGTCTCTTTTATAACCTCGTTTTCTTACATTATACTACGTAGTAATTGAGCACCAACTGAAGTGATAAACGAGTCGTTTAAAGCGACAAAAGCTTTGCGAAAAGCCTTCTTTTTTTAAGCACAGCGTACAGTGCTGTTCAAAACTGTATGGTCATTAATCACGAAGTAAAACAATACTCGTCTGTACAGCGCCAGTGATGTACAGTCAGTATCACCATCGTTCCAATCTTGCAAGAATCTAATCCGAAACTTCTACTCAGTGCAACTGGCGCTTCTGACTCGTGGGATTACCTTCACTTGACAATTCCCGCCCAAGCCGACACCAAGTCGAACAATAGTCCGCTAGCCAACGATGCGAGTTAATCATGTACTGCTTCTGACCCTCGTCGTCCTTCTCGCTTGCAGCGACGTTGTCTTGGGTTCCACTATCAAACAGCGAGCACCCGAATCCCCGATGGCTTCGCTCGTTAATTCATATATTATCAGTCGAAGAATGCTTCGAACAAGCGAGATGGCCGTCTCAGACAACGAAGAGAGGGGAGCGATCGACACCCTGCGCACTAAGCTGAGTAAGCTATTTGAAAAAGTGTTGACGTGGCTTAAGAGAAAGGAAGTCGCAGCTGCAGAGAAAGCGAAGACCAAGAAGCTTGTGGAATTTGTGAAAACTCAAGCTCGCTCCGAAAACCTCGACGACGCTGTGAAGAATTTGCAGAAGGAAGGCATCACTCATGGCCAGGTCAAGGAATGGCTAAGACTCGACAAGGAACAGAATCAGTGGAAGTTTTTGGACCGCGATAGCCCGCTCTATCTCATGAGTACCAACTTTTTGACAAGCTCAGGGATGCAGCTGTAAAGCTCAACCGCGCAAGCAGCCAGTGAACGATATCACAGTTATCCATAGTTGGTGGAACTTTCCGTTCGCAGACCCTTCGCGACACGAGCGCCAAAACTAGCAGCCCCTTTGAAAACAGCTACAACGTATCGTGGTACATGCAGGAGCTACAGCAAAAACCTGCAACAGCATCGTATTGGCGAGCGACTGTCGATTTTCATATCCAGAAGTTTACTTGCCTATCACAAAATACAAAAAAATACTTCAGACCGGCGGCAAGTTGCTTGCCTCGCGACGATTGTTTCTTCTTAGGAGCTACATCTGCCGATTAAACTTCCTGGCATGACCATGTTGATCAATAACCGGTGTTTGAATGGGGCTTGCACTGTTACTTCTTGCAGTACTAACTCCAGAAACACTCGACCTCGTACTTCCAGCACTTGCACTTTTTGCGCGTGGCAGTGTGGAAGCAATCGAGCTGGAAACGATCTTACTGGATCCGTTGATTCGTCTGATGACGTGCTTCTCCGTGTTGACTGGAAGTAGATATCACTGTCTATCAGGTTCCTCCTCTCCATTGTCAGCTTCACTGTATAAGTTCGAGCATGTGCTTCTGCTGCTGCTGCTACTGCCATTAATCGCGGCGGTATAGACGCTCCAGTTGCCGGCGTACACGTGAGGTCTTGAAAGCAGAGTTTTGGGAGCGCATTTGCTTCTTCTCAAGTTGCGGAACCATGAGAGGAGTCCAATTGCACAAAAAAAACGATGCTACGTACAGCTTTGGGTTGTGATTCTGATAAAGTGGCTCCCCGACGGTATCACTACAAAGAGGATTTTCTGTTCAGCAAAATCAACATCGATCTCCTGTAACACGCACCGCAGTTTTACACCATAGGCCACAAAACAAAAAGCACAGCGCACGTATTAAGCGTAAGGTGTATTTTACTATAAACAAAACGAGTCTTTCCGCTATACCCGGTGGCAGGAATAAAATATCGGATCCCGGAGTCTACAAACTTGTACGTACACTGTAATACTCATTGTACGATTGTGAGCGATGGTGATACCTAGTACAGTACTGACGTTGGGATACTCTAATCTGCAGTATCACTGATACTGTACTTTACTCAATGAGTAGTACTCACTGAGTACTACTCACTCGGTGCAATTGAAGCTTTTGACTCGTGGGGTTACCTTCACTTGACAATTCCCCCCCAAGCCCACACCAAGTCGAACAATAGTCCGCTAGCCAGCGATACGAGTTAATCATGCCCTGCTTCTGACCCTCGTCCTTTTCGCTTGCAGCGACGTTGTCATGAGTGACACTATCAAACAACAAGCACACGTATCCCCGGTGGCTTCGCTCGATGACATTAAGGTTATTATCAACAATCGAAGAAAGCTTCGAACAAGCGAGATGGCCGTCTCGGACGACGAAGAGAGAGGAGCGATCGACACCCTGCGCGCCAAGCTGATTGGGCCAGCCAACAAAGTGTTGACGTGGCTTAAGAGAAAGGAAGTCGCAGCTGCAGAGAAAGCGAAGAC